ATGGGTATAAAACTAATAATGCATAGCCCCATTGCTTTCTATGTTAATTTCTGCAATTTTCATCGTTAATGGCTACTTTGTCTTATGTTCAATAAAGTGGCAGTCATTTCATGTCAAAACTATACCTTATCCTGACTTGGGCTGAAAAAGTCAACATACCTTTAATTGCATATAAGAGCCTACTGGTACCCGGAAGTTTGGTAGTACAAAATCAGGTACTTCTGATCTGAAGTATATTATTGTATATACTTCTTTATTATTCAAAAGAAACTTTCAACAAGGGTTCTACAGTGATCCCAAGTCCCCAAGCTTTCATTTGACAACATAACTACCCAAATATTTCACCTATTGACAAAGATACAGCTATGCGTAGGAACTATTTTGTTTAAAATATGTACTGCTTTCTTGTATGTTCTTTCTGACCGGGCCTGAATTAGTGGTTCTATACCTATTGTGTTAAATCAGGCCGTTGGTTATTTCATTATTGAAGGCCTAACGGTGACCTAGCTGCTTACTTACATCTACGTCATTATGTCAATGGTGGATAATTGTCTTATTGGCAATCATACCACATTTTCTTATTCTAATATTAAATCTTATGCAAGTACTGCACTCTCAAATAGATCAAAATGATGTACAGACGATTGAACGTTATTTCAAAGCTAAAGTTCCTCATAGAAAGATCATAATTTAGAATTTTTCTTCTTTATCTCACCTGCGGCTAACCAAATGGGTGAAATTACAATTTTAATCAAATTTTGCGCTTTTGGCTGTTACGGTAAATGGCAAAATGATCACTGAAACCAGATTTCTAAATAAGTCAGCATGGCTGAAATCGGCAGCCGACTCCTTATTGGAGTTATTGTCTTTTACTGTTGTTTTTTTTTATGAGGATGTGGTAACAAATGTAGATTTGCAATTTTACTTTTAACATTTCAGTATGCTTAGGATTCGTTTGTCATCCTATAATATTTGTACTGAATTGGACATGTAATATTGAAAATAATAGGAATGACAAATATTGTGGTTTTAATGTGATTGAGGATGAATTTCCTTTTATTTCAAAAATATAGCCGATTGGTAAATTTACATAAAATACATAAAGAAATAATAATAACTGTTTATTTAGGTTAATACAATTATTTTCTGTTGAAAACATAAACTTAGAAAACTATGTACACGAAAAAGAATTTAGAATTGAATTTAGAATTGAATTTACTCCTTTTGTAAGCAGTTTCGCTATTTTTTATTTCGAGAAGTTAGATCAAAATGGTTTCAAACATTTTCTTAAATTGACATAAATATTGTATATTGTTATTTAAAATTAAACTTATTCAAACCGGTAAGCATCAATAATTTAAACGGATTATCTTACTACGCACAGTACACATGTTTTCATTATCTTTATAGTATTGACAGAATCAGATGACCCGTCAAAACCATTTATTTTAATACGGCTTATTAATGATTATTTTATGAAAATCAAAACACCTTTAATCTTAAACATAGGCAACGATTAGTAGCTATTAGTAGGTCGTTATGGTTAATGGACGGAGCCTGGGGAGTTCAAAGTATTTCGAATGTGTTTGTACAGATAGAAGTTAATTTTCTGACACTTTTATTTCAGAAGAAGCTGACAATATATCATTTATTTATTGTGGTAAAGTGATAAGAATAAATCACCTTAAAATGAGACAAACAATAATTATAATGCGAGGTTCCAGAACTGAGACAAGAATTTCTCTGAAAGTCCTACTTTGAAAAATTTTGATTGGTTAGCGTTAGCAAATAGTAATTGTTTTATTTTTTAATCCACACTCATGTAGTAGGAGTATGTGAAAGACGTTGGAGGACAAAATGTGTGTAGTGATTTGATTCTATACTGAATAAAAAGAATATAATTTAAAACAAAACAGGTATTTAAATTGAACACTGAAATTAAATTTCAGTACCCCTCTCCAACAAAGTAAGATATGTTACGATATTAAAAAATGTACGATTTGGATAGAAATTCCGATGTTTACTTATAGAATGAGTACATTTACTGAAAGATATCAATATACTAGAACAATATACATTGAAACCAGAGATGAAAATTTAATTATTATCAAATCAATTACACATTCATTGAAGAATTTTTTCGTAATTTAATTAGATCAAGCTTACCTTCCTGTGTTGGTTTTAGAAGAAGCGTAAATATATTGTCTATAAGACTTTAAGTATTTACAATGGAGCAATTTCCCCCAAGGATTTATAAAATTATTATTGCAAACAAAAGCTGGATGAGAGAATTAGATGTAGGTGCTGTACAAGTTAGTTATCGAGTTAACGATTATTAAAATTTTAATGATATATAATTTTATGTATGAAATCCTACGGTTGATTGGTTGTTATTAGTTTAAAGACTAAAAAATTCAGATAATTCTATATACGAAATTGTTTTTAACCTTATAGCATTGTTCTATTCCAAAGAAACATTTCAAAATGAAAATCTTATTTAAATTTACGTTCGAATTGCATGAAATATTTTCCATATTTCATGCAATTCGAACGTAAATTTAAATAAGATTTTCATTTTGAAATGTTTCTTTGGAATAGAACAATGCTATAAGGTTAAAAACAATTTCGTATATAGAATTATCTGAATTTTTCGAGAAAGGTTGAGAAGCTTTAACTTCATGTTCAACATAGAGTGTTTGAAAAAAAACATCAATCAGACATTCACAAATTCTTTCGGAAGTATAGCTATTTAGTCAATAGCACACAAATTAATCTATATAAAAATAAGGAGATGTGGTATGATTGCCAACAAGACAACTATCCACCAAAGTTCAAATAAAGTGGATGTAAGCAATTATAGGCAACCGTACGGCCTTCGACTATGAAAAAAAAAACATACCGTATAGTCTGCTATAAAAGGCCCCGACATGAAAAATATGAAACAATTCAATTGAGAAAACTAAGACCTAATTTATAACAAAACAATTTACGAAAAATAAATATGACAGACGTCAACCAACGACAACCACTGAACTACAGGCTCCTTACTTGGGACAGGCACATATATAAAGAATGTGGCGGGGTTAATGTAAAAATAAGAAGATGTGGTATGATTGCCAATGGGACAACTCTCCACAAGAGACCGAATGACACAGAAGTTAACAATTATAGGTCACCATACGGCCTTCAACAATGAGTAAAACCCATGTAGCATAGTCAGCTATAAAAGGCTCTGAAACATGTATATTGGTTAACGATGTGCTTTGATGCAAAATTTTACAGAGCACATCGTTAACCAACATATTATGTTGAACAATCATAATTTAGTCTCTTTAATATTCAAATTCCAGTACATTTCAACACCTTTCCAATTCGGACCTAGTCAGTGAATCAATTACAACAAAAAATGAATCTATCCGTTATCCATCTTACTTAAAGTAAAATCAAAAAGGAAAATCCTGTGACAAGTGGCCCCATGTATCAATAATCCTTGACTTTCTATTTTTCGGCTTTGAACGTTCTTGGTGAAGGTAAATCCAGGAAAGCGCTTCGGGCGAATGAAATTTATAAAGTGCTGTTTAATTTTGTAACTCCTAATCATAAAAGTCTGAGGTAAGAACGTCTTATTTCATTTGCGTCACACAGCTAGCGTCTTGATAATTTTCATGGAAGCATCACATTTCGCCTCATGCGAATGTACGTATGATTTTCCTATTTTTGATTCCAGAAAAACATAATACCAAAAAATATATCTAGGGAAGAATTAAGTTATGCTTTTGGTATTCCTTGTCGGCAGCAAACACACACACACAAACAAATAAAACAAATAAAAGCAAATAGCCAAATAAACACGGGTGATTCAAAAACCATAAAATATCACCAAATCAATTAATAAAATATTGGAATTTTTACTTTCATTGACGATGAAGTCTCATGAAGTCTCATCATCATTTATATTCGCAAAAAAGTTAGATCATAAACTCCATGAAACGTGTAATCGGATTGCAGGTGGGATATGATCTTTACTGACCCTTGGCTTCATTCACGTGCTTTTACGTTTTATCACATCATTAGCGTCAAATGACATCTGGGCGAACTTGTCAAAATTCTTAACCGTTTTACTACCTTGATAACACTACCACTCAGAAACAATATATCTCGTTTCTAAGACATTTTTATTCAATGTTATAAGATGACCTGTAAAAAATAAACGATTAATGTTGATTAAATAAGACGCGTGAAATGAACAACTAGGTGGCCACATCACCTGTGTTTTATCGCTGTAACACGGATGCAACATTTTTATCATTTTATGAGGATGATTTCAATTTTAAATATTTTATCTTGGTCGAAATTGTACAAACAAATTATGAAATTATTTAATAAATTACTAAAATAGAAAATAGTCATCCCAAGGATTTGTAAAGTAAGAATAACTATACGTATCCTTGGTCATCCCTTCATTTAAAAATATTGGTTCTTGAGGCAAGTGCCCGTACAAAAATGTGAGGGTTGGGGATGAGGGAGTGGATTGAAAATTAAAATTATGCAAACACTTTTCGTGTTAATGTTTTCAAACCATTTAAATTCAAATTAATTGTCCTTTTGCTTCTATTTTTAAATCCTATTTATTTGTGAAATGTTTGAAATTAATAATTGATTGAAATTTGTTTGATTAATGTCCAGTGGCAACTATTTCATGCATATTTAAAACGATATATTAATTAAAAATAGTTCATAGTCCTAAATATGAAAAAAGAATCTTCTTTCAAAATATATCCCGATGAATATTTTTGAAGCAGTATTTATTTGATAAAAAGTATGAACCATATCATGATATAAATTAAATTAATCCAAAAAATTGATTATTCCTTTTATCTATATTAACATTAAACTAGTTTACTTTTATAACCTAATTCCATCTACATAATATACAAATAACATCTCTAGTCAACAGCCGAAGGAGGAGCTAACAGATTATTTATAGATGCTGAGGTTGTGATGATTTGGATACAAGTTCGTCACAAATTGAAGTCAAGTTTATTAAAGAATTCAAAAATGTATCAAGACGGGTGTTATGGATGTAACCAATCTCTGCTATGGCCCGGATATAGAACGTATCCACGGAAACCGACCTCATTCCATATTATGGATATTTTACATATTAGACAGGAACAACAAATTCCGTCAGCTTTAGGACCTTTACAGGATTTTTGTAGGACTAAAAGTGTGGAAAACATGGTTTCTCCAATAAATCAAGAACGAGTACCAACTATAGGGACACCTAAAGATCTTAAGTTTGGAATTAATCGAATTCTTTCCGAGGACTTTGGAAACAAATCACCGGTAGTCAATGGTAAGAACGACAGAAATAGTTGATATAATTCTAATTTGTTTTAATTTTCTAAAATTCAGAATTGTGTTACTGAAAGTTAATTACTGGTATAACTTTGGCGTTTAAATTCATAATTCACAACAAAAAATATTATTTTGAGAATGGATTCTTTACTTGTATTTAAAAAAAAATGTATATACAACATAAATTATAAATTAATATGACATTCTATAACATTCAAAAAGATTTTATATGCAGAGAAAGAGATCTAATTGTGAATGTTATTTTTTTCAGAAAACAGAAACAAGTTCTCGTTAACACGGACGTGTGATTGTGGTTCTCCATCGTGCAGTGTTCTTATGTTCTCACAGATGTCATCACACCCTTTCAATTCTCCACACTATACACTTTATCATTCAGAGACAGAAACTCTTCCAGGTATTTAGAATTTTTCTCTATAAATAAAATTTTACCAAATGTCAGCTAGTTAACTCAATAATGGGCTTGAATTTAAACAACAAAGAAAAGTGCTTCCAAATTTTCAAATTTTGTTCGCATATTTGAAACGGATTTGTTTTGCAATTTATATTCAGTTAAAGTAAAATTGTGCCTTTTCATCATCCTTTAAAAAAAAATACTTTATTTATTCTAATTTTTATTTTTTTAACCACATTACTCTTCTAAGAATATTTCACAAATGATGTTCTATAAAGGTGGGTTTTACTTTGGATTTATTCATTAAAAAAAAAACACCCTTCCCGCGCCAAATCAAAAGAAAAATCACACCCTGGTCATTATTTTGCTTCATGTTTTACTTGAATTTAACGTAAATTTATAATAAATGCTTTCCTGTTTAAAATAAAAATAATGAAAAAAAAAATAAAATATGCTGAAGTAATGTCTCGGGTATTTTGTGTACAGTAAAGGGACATATTAAAAGAAAAAAACATATTTTCAGCTAGAAGTCTTTATTCGTAAACTCAAGAGATTAAATTGTTCACATAAAACATTGTTTGGGCCTCTTTTTAAAGCCATAAACCTTTTTTTTTAGTGTTTTTTATAAAAAGTCTTGGTAAAATATGTTTTTCCTAGGTTGGAAAAAATCAGATCAATTCATTACTTCTGTCTTGGTTTAAAATAATTCAACTTACAAAGCTGTTAAAAATCTTTTATCTTCAATTACATAAACAAATTAAATCAGGCCCTCTCAACAAAATATGTGTGCCTCATAGGATAGAATATCATATTTATGATCTGTTGTCTCTTTATCGATTTTTAAACCTTTTTTATGATGATGTGTAATATTTAGAAAAAAAATATGACACTATAGTTTTGCTATTTCACAGTCTACACAAAGCGCATAGCTGTTATTTGTGACAATAATTATTAAAACTTTTAATTTGGTTTAAAAGTGAAAAAAATTTTGATGCCTTTAGTTGTCTCATCATATGTTTAAAATGTATTAAAGCTCTATGGTACTGTCGTGTATTTGTTCAGTTTTTATGATCTTTTGTATTTTACGTTGTTAATAGTAATCCTTTTGAGATGTCTACTTTTCAGTTTATTTTATAAATTTTATTACGATTCCGTGCTTCATTAAAAAATAAATGTGACAACGAAGTAAAAAAAAACCAATTTATCTATATATTTTATCAACATAGGTATTAAAAATGTCAATAAGAAAATAAGAAGACTACATCTGCAAACTTAACAAATGTTATTTATATTTTTGAATTATTTTGCCGGCGTTTCAAAGACCTCTGCCATCTTTATTCGAGTCTATTAATCGTTTTCAATAAAACATGGGCTTATTGAAAAGTTGACAATATAGATAATCTCGTTATTTTTATAATTTTAATGTAGTATCATTAGAAACATTGTCAACTCTACAAAATTTTCCGTTTATAAATTTAAAATCATTAAGAAACTAAGGTTCCAAGAAAAAAGTTGATCATAGATCGATTTGGCTACTATTTTTAGGCCCTTTTTGGCCATATTTCACTCCGCGTGTTTAGGTTCTCAAATTGGCTTCCAATTAATGGGTTTTGAGCGTTCCTGATGAAGGTAAATCCTGAAATTCATACAATTTATCATGTGTTATTTACATTTTTTTACAAGAAGTTCGAATGAATAATTAAATGTTCCGAATTTCTCTCTCTCCGTTATTAGGTGGCTCAGACTTGTACATGTATTCATCCATTCACAAACAAAATAATGATTTTTTTTAAAAGCTTAGTATCCTCGAATATTTGTCTAACGAATTCAATAGCAATTTATTAAAACATACAGCTTTTTAAAATACCCTCCATCAGAATTTCTTGCCAATTAAATAAAAAATATAAACATAAACGAAAGTATTGAGAAGTTTTACATTTGACTATCACAACGCTATGTTTCAATATCTCAAGAGTGTTTAAAAAAACACTACACCTGCAACTTATCAAACAATCTCATTATTTTCATTGCAACGGACAACAAAATTACAGCTTAGAATTTATAACCGTTAGCAAGATAAGATGCCTGGGGCGATTTGTCATTTTGATGTGTTAGCATGGCAATCAAATTCCCATTAATTCTTATGCATATGTGTGCAAATTTTTATGTTGATGAGTTTATTTTTAAATTTTCCATGATTCCATACCAACGAAAATTAGAAGCGTTGCAAAAAGACACACATGCTTATATTTGATAGCTTTGTCACGACATCATTCATTATATCTGTAATAATTTTTTTTTTAATGTTAAGGATGTAAAAATTTGAAATTTCTTGATTAAATGAAGCAATTTCTATATTTTTTATTTCGCAAATATTTTCTTTGATGATTGAAATGCCTAATAAAATTCAAAAGAATCTTTAAGATGATTATATAGTGGCAATTAATTACGACGATGATGATAAATAATAAATTTTATTTTACCTCAGTTATCATTTTTTATATAAAATAAGTACACACTATTTTGACTATTTTTCAAATTGCAAGCGTTGAACTATTTGACCGGTCAATAGTTTCCAACTATTGGACCTCGATGAAACTATTTGACCGCAAGCGTCATTATATTTCGCGGAATTTCAAATGCAGCTACGGGATTGGAGGATTTTGAAATCACCGCGGGTGTTACGGCGTCGCGTTTTACCTATTGTCTCTAGGGTTGACGTCAGTGCAGGACGTAGCCTTCGCATTTCAGAATATTTATGAAGTACACGTTGGGTTTCTGCATTTTATATTACGATAGTTGATTTATCCCCGCTATTTATTGTCTGTTGTCTTTTTCGATATAATAAAACACTTACTGACTAGATATTCGTGGAATAGTAAGTTTATTGTCCCCTCGGATACAACTATTGCCCTCGGCTACGTCTCAGTGCAATAAATAGTTGCACCTCGGGGGACAATAAACTTACTATTCCACTCATACCCAGTCAATAAGTATACAATGGAAATGATGACTTAATATTTAGTTCTGAATACGCATGTCGATGATGGCAAATAAAAAAAATGAATAGACATTCAATTTACTATTTGATTTTTCAATTATAGCAGTGCATATATGAGATAAGGATTCGTGTAACATCCAGTGACGAACCCAAGAGTGGAAAGATTACACAGAAATCTTTTGAATTGGAAGCGAAAAATTGCCATGACTTAATCAATGTTTTATTTTTTTTTTCTTTTTCTTTTACTAGGCCCATATTCTATTTTAAATGATGAGACTTGCACAAATGGTCAGTCAAAACGAAAAAGATCATGGTCCAGAGCCGTTTTCTCAAACTTACAGAGGAAAGGTTTAGAAAAGAGATTTGAAGTACAAAAATACGTCACAAAACCTGATAGAAGACAACTAGCAGCTATGTTAGGACTTACAGATGCACAGGTATTCATTCATTTTAATTCTTTTTAGAATAGTTATTCAAACGCTTTTTAATTGGTTAGCGTCATGGCAACCAAAACGTTTACATGTTTCAAGAAGTCACGAGTATCAAAACAAATTAGCATGTCTTGAACATGCATGAAATATATGCCACTGGACGTTGATCCATCATCAATCAATCAAAACAAAATACCTTATTTTTTGTGTTCATAAATCATTTAACGATTGATCAGATATCGTCTCGAACTTGCATGAAATATTTGCCACTGGATGTAAAGCAAATAATAATCAATCAATAATAATATTTCCAAAATATACCGCATTTGCTTAAAACCTCTGAACAGATAAAACTACAAAAATTCCCTCGTTTTTCTCATGAATATTTAGATATGACCATCCGCCTAACCCTTGAATAAATTCGTCTATAAGATGTTTTATACAATATTTTTTGGTTCGTCTAATGCACATATTTAATTTTCTCAAAATATATATATTAAAAGGTAAAATTTTAGTCAAAGTCAATTATGTTGTTGACATTAAAGCGACAGGGCAATTGACGTTTCGGCACTACAGCTTTTTACCTAGATCGTCTTAATAATCTAGGATTGAAATTAACAAGATTCTTAAAGACGAACATTGCTATATTTGCGATTTCTGGGGACCAACTAATGACTCTTAGTATACATTCTCCGTCGTTAATACAATAATTTTGAGTGCAAACAAAAACTTTGTACTTAAATCATTTTGAGAACATTAGAAAAAGACATTTTTACCTCTCTCTATATGATCGAGAGCTACTGACTAAATTTAGATAATGCAAAGTTTCAGCTGTTGTCAGATTGTTTGATTTGCTTTTTTTTGTTCATTGTTAGATTCAAAAGAATAGAAAAAATACAATTTGTTTGTAGTCGCTTCGAAACATGCAGGAGAGAAAGCAAGTTCAATGGCAGCTCTCTTTTCTGTCAGTGCAAATAAATTACACTTTTTTTCGGTAATGTACATCTAGTCTTTAAATTGTACATCTAATAGACATATATATTATCTATATTCTGCTACCTAGCCTTGGTATCTATATCGCTGCTATAATTATGAAACTAATAAATTGCATATTAAAAATCTCCAACTGAGCATTTGCACTAGTTTAGCCTCGCTTCAATTTATCTTTATTATATTTTCAATTCATGAAATAAAATTTATTTATTTATTACATAATGTATATGAACTCCATAGCATGGGGCAAATGTATATAAATTAATAAAAACATATTACAGACACATTAAATGAATTGATAACCGCATCTGTGACAGCATCTGTGCACTATACTTATCGCAGATTCGTGTAATAATGTGTATTGAAAACACCTGTAAAACACAGGTGATATGTCAAATTGGAATTAGAGAAAACAAATATTTGATTACAACATGCCAAACATGTTACACCTTTCAACTTTTTTTACCTTACGAATTTTAATTGCGTTTAGAAGCATTATATGTACGATAAAAATGTGTTTTCGCAACAAACTGCACTGAAAACAGACATCGGCATGTTAGAGTATGAACGGTTTGGATAAAATGGTGGATTTCAAATTAAAAATATTAATCACATGTTGTTCACAAGTGTTTGATTTCTTTTTTATACGCCCGTTTACGGGACGTATTATGGTATACCCTTGTCCGTCTGTCCGTCCGTCCGTCTGTCCGTCCGTCGTCAACATGTCGGACATTAACTCAAAAATGCTTTAACCAATTTGCATAAAACTTTGGTGAATTGTTTATATCTATTGACGTGAGCTCCCTTTCATTTTTTATAAATTTTAGATTTTACGTTTCCGAGTTATGGGGTTTTATTCATTAAAAAAAGGGGGGTTTTTCCAGTTTTCGGACAATAACTCAAGAATGCTTTCGCCAACTTGCAAGAAATTGTGGTGAATTGTTTATATCTATTAACATGAGCTCCCTTTCGATTTTTATATATTTTAGATTTTACGTTTTTGAGTTACAGGGTTTTATTCATAAAAAAGGGGGATTTTTGAGTTTTCGGACAAAAAAATCAAAAATGCTTTGGTGAATTGTTTATATCTATTGATGTAAGCTCTGTTTAGAATTTTATAAATTTTACAATTTACATTTCTGAGTTATGGGGTTTTATTCATTAAAAAAGGGGTGATTTTCCAGTTTTCGGACAACTACTCAAAAATGCTGTCAGCAATTCTCATGAAACTTTGGTGAATTGTTTATATCTATTGATGTAAGCTCCCTTTACATTTTCATAAATTTCTAATATGATATTGAGAATTAATTGAACTTTATTTGTTTATAGTCTGACAACAGATTTACTAAGTATTGCGCAACAGCACAGTGTATTGCACAACAGCAAGAAATCTTTACTTGAATATAAATTCAATTCATATAACCAATTTCAAGTTCTTTGACTACATTTATTCAGAAACCTATAATATGTCATAAAATATTTAATACAATCCAAATTCAGACCTGTATCAAGCTTGAATATTGTGTCAATTTTTGCCCCAACTGTTCAGGGTTGGACCTCTGCGGGCGTATCCAGCTGCGCTCAGCGAAGCAGTTTATTTATTTTTACGTTGGATTGAAGTGTTTCTCAGCAGAGAGTCGGCATTCCTATGGGACCTCATTGTGCTCTTCTTCTCGTCGACTGGGTTCTTTATTCGTATTTAGGCAGACATACTAGTAATACTAATTTATCCCTAAGAAGAATGAAAAGAACCTGAAAGCATCCTTTAATTTCAAATGCCGCAATATAGATGCAGTCCAGACTCCTACCATGATTACTTTTGGTAACGAGGTTTATCGCATCTATCCCTTGCATATAATACTCAAGAATACCGCATATACAATAAGGTCTGCTTCATATCTTTACTTATCTTACCTTCTATAGATTTCTGGGGATATGATTGGTTAATGGACTACACGTGGTGACTACATATATTTGATATAGAGTGTCCTAAAAATATGGGGTTAGTTAGCATATGGGGTTAGTAAGGAGTTACTTCCCTTTCAAAACAATAAAGAAATCTGAAAGGTTTCAACAGACGAAGAAATTGATAATGAACGATTGAAATAAAGTCATAAAACAAATTCAAAGCTAACAAGTTGTTGTTGTTGTCATTTGTTTTTTATATAGACAAATGGAAGTAGGTTCTTAATACTAAGTATTGAAGACTTAATCACTTTGGTGGCCGCTAGTCTAAATACCACATGTGAAGATAGTCGGTAAGATGAATTCGTTACACGGTGTGTTAGTGACCTAATACGATAAATATTGGGTCAGTAAATTCCATATGGGGTGAGAGCTTCATATGGAATTTACTGACCCCATATATATCGTATTAGGTCCCTAAGCTTCATATGGAATTTACTGACCCCATATATATCGTATTAGGTCACTAACACACCATGTAACTAATATAACATATAGAAATTGACCATGAGGGTCGTTTTAAAACTTAACAAAAAATGGTCAATTTTGTCATCCGTCATTGTATATTTGATTAGAAATGTTTGAAAAATATTTGATCCTTAGGTATAAGGCAGCAAGTTTTAAATTTATTTAACACTTTCTGAATTTTTACTTTACTAGTCGAAGGGAGAAGCAGTAATGAAGATTTGTATCATAAAACCAAAGCGGATTTAAGAGGTGATGCAACCGTTACTCGCCTTCTTAAGTAGAAAACTAATAATATAAGTGACGAAACACAACGAGTTAGTTAACCAACTTTTGGTGAAGATATTTTGAGGTGGCACTCCAGTCCTCCTAAATCCAGGACTCCTATATATATATTTTTTTTGCCTCGCATTACTGTAGCTATTGGTTTCATACGATATACAGGCCATCTTGAAATTATAAGATAACAAAAGTTAGTTACGATTGGTTTCCTGATGGTGTTGCTTAGATTTTTATTGGCTTATTATACGACCGCAAAAATTAAAAAATTTTTGGTCGTATATTGGTATGACGTTGGCGTCGTCGTCGTCGTCGTCGTTGTCGTCGTCGTCTGGCGTCGTCCGGCGTCGTCCGAAGACACATTGGTTTTCGCACTCTAACTTTAGTTAAAGTGAATGGATCTCCATGAAATTTTACCATAAGGTTCTATACCACGAAAGGAAGGTTGGGATTGATTTTGGGGGTTATGGTACCAACAGTTAAGGAATTAGGGGCCAAAAAGGGGCCAAAAATAAGCATTTTTGTAACTTCCAGACAATTACTTGTGTGTAAGTGTATGGATCTCTCTGACATTATACCACAAGGTTCCATATCACAAAGGGAAGGCTGTAATTGATTTTGGGGGTAATTGCCTCAAAATATTAGGAATTAGGGGCCAAAAAAGGGGCAAAAAACAAGCATTTTTCTAGTTTCATGACAATAACTTGTGTGTAAGTGTATGGATCTGTCTGAAATTGTACTACAAGGTTCCATATCACAAAGGGAAAGCTGGGTTTGAGTTTGGGGCTAATTGCCCTAAACGTTTAGGAATTTGGGGCCAAAAAGGGGCCAAAAAACGAGCATTTTTATAGTTTTCAGACAATAACTTGTGTTCAAGTGTATGGATCTCTCTGAAATTGTACTGCAAGGTACCATACCACAAAGGGAAGGCTGGGATTGAGTTTGGGGGTGATGAATCATAAGGGGGTTCAAAAAATTTGGGGGGGGGGATTTTTTTTTTTTTTCTTTTTTTTTCTTTTTTTCCTTTTTTTTTCTTTTAAAATTTTCCATTTTAAGTTGGTTATTTCTGATTTATATTTAAAAGCAAATAATAATGATATGGTAGGAGATACACACCAAACAGGATGTGTAAATTATTATATAATAAGTATTGTGCAATAGCAAGAAATTTTCAATTGCACAGTATTGCACAATCATGACAATAGCAAGAAATCTTCAATTGCACAGTATTGCGCAATAGCAAGAAATCTTCAATTGCACAGTATTGTGCAATAGCAAGAAATATCCAATAGCACAATATTGCG